AAAACCAAACACATGGAGGCTAAACAATATACTACTAAATAACCAAGAGATCACTGAAGAAATTCAAAAAGGAAATCAAAAATTATCTAGAGAAAAATGACAATGAAAACACAATGACCCAAAACCTATGGCATGCAGCAAAAGCAGTTTTAAGAGGGAAGTTTATAGCAATACAAGCCTACCTCAAGAAACAAGAAAAATCTCAAATAAACAATCTAGTCTTACACCCAAAGGAACTAGAGGAAGAAGAACATACAAAACCCAGAGTTAGTAGAAGGAAAGAAATCATAAAGATCAGAGTAGAAATAAATGTAATAGAAACAAAGAAAACAATAGCAAAGATCAATAAAACTAAAAGCTGGTTCTTTGAGAAGATAAAATCGATAAACCATTAGCCAGACTCATCAAGAAAAAGAGTGAGAGGACTCAAATCAATAAAATTAGAAATGAAAAAGGAGAAGTTACAACAGACACCGCAGAAATACAAAGCATCCTAAGAGACTACTACAAGCAACTATATGCCAATAAAATGGACACCCTGGAAGAAATGGACAAATTCTTGGAAAGGTATAACCTTCCAAGACTGAACCAGGAAGAAACAGAAAATATGAACAGACCAATCACAAGTAATGAAATTGAAACTGTGATGAAAAATCTTCCAACAAACAAAAGTCCAGGACCAGATGGCTTCACAGGCAAATTCTATCAAACATTTAGAGAAGAGCTAACACCCATTCTTCTCAAACGCTTCCAAAAAAGTGCAGAGGAAGGAACACTCCCAACCTCATTCTACATGGCCACCATCACCCTGATAGCAAAACCAGACAAAGATATCACAAAAAAGAGAAAATTACAGACCAATATCACTGATGAACATATACACAAAAATACTAGCAAACAGAATCCAACAACATATTAAAAAGATCATACACCATGATCAACTGGGATTCATCCCTGGGATGCAAGGATTCTTCAATACACACGAATCAGTCAGTGTGATACACCATATTAACAAATTGAAGAGTAAAAACCATGTGATCCTCTCAATAGATGCAGAAAAAGCTTTTGACAAAATTCAACACCATTTATGATAAAAACTCTCCAAAAAGTAGGCATAGAGGGAACCTACCTCAACATAATAAAGGCCATATATGACAAACCCACAGCAAACATCATTCTCAATGGTGAAAACCTGAAAGCATTTCCACTAAGATCAGGAACAAGACAAGGATGTCCACTCTCACCAATATTATTCAACATAGTTTTGGAAGTTTTAGCCACAGCAATCAGAGAAGAAAAGGAAATAAAAGGAGTCCAAATCGGAAAAGAAGCAAAACTGTCACTGTTTGCAGATGACATGATACTATACATAGAAAATCCTAAAGATGCTACCAGAAAACTACTAGAGCTAATCAATGAATTTGGTAAAGTTGCAGGATACAAAATTAATGCACAGAAATCTCTTGCATTCCTATACACTAACAACAAAAGATCGGAAAGAGAAATTAAGGACACAATTCCATTTACCATTGCAACAAAAAGAATAAAATACCTAGGAATAAAGCTACCTAAGGAAGCAAAAGACCTGTACTCAGAAAACTACAAAATACTGATGAAAGAAATCAAAGATGACACAAACAGACGGAGAGATATATCATGTTCTTGGATTGGAAGTATCAATATTGTGAAAATGAGTACCCTACCCAAAGCAATCTACAGATTCAATGCAATCCCTATCAAATTACCAATGGCATTTTTCACAGAATTAGAACAAAAAATTTTACGATTTGTATGGAAACACAAAAGACCCCAAATAGTCAAAGCTACCTTGAGAAAGAAAAACAGAGCTGGAGGAATATCAGGCTCTCTGACTTCAGACTATACTATAAAGCTACAGTGATCAAAATCCCTACAGTGGTAGCGACTTCCCTGGTGGCACAGTGGTTGAGAATCTTCCTGCCAATGCAGGGTACATGGGATATCCCTGGTCCGGGAAGGTCCCACATGCCAGAGAGCAACTAAGTCCGTGCACCACAACTACTGAGCCCGAGTGGTCACAACTACTGAAGCCCGTGTGCCTAGAGCCCATGCTCCACAACAAGAGAAGCCACCGCAATGAGAAGCCTGTGCACCACAACAAAGAGTAATCCCCACTTGCTGCAACTAGAGAAAGCCCACGTGCAGCAACAAAGACCCAATTCAGCCAAAAATTAATTAATTAATTAATTAATTTAAAAAGAAAAGAAAAGAAAAGAAAGACAGTATGGTACTGGCACAAGAAGTATAGATCAATGGAACAGGGTAGAAAGCTCAGAGATAAACCCACGTACCTATGGTCACCTAATCTATGACAAAGGAGGCAAGAAAATACAATGGAGAAAAGACAGCCTCTTCAATAAGTGGTGCTGGGAAAACTGGATAGCTACATGTAAAAGAATGAAATTAGAACACTACCTAACACCATACACAAAAATAAACTCAAAATGGATTAAAGACCTAAATGTAAGACCGGACACTATATAAAACTCTTAGAGGAAAACATAGGAAGAACACTCAATGACATAAATCACAGCAAGATCTTTTTTGACCCACCTCCTAGAATAATGAAAATAAAAACAAAAATAAACAAATGGGACCTAATGAAACTGAAAAGCTTTTGCACAGCAAAGGAAACCATAAACAAGAGGAAAGGACAATACTCAGAATGGGAGAAAATATTTGCAAACGAAGCAACTGACAAGGGATTAATCTCCAGAATATACAAACAGCTCAGGCAGCTCAATATCAAAAAAACAAACAACCCAATCAAAAAATGGGCAGAAGACCTAAACGGACATTTCACCAAAGAAGACACACAGTTGGCCAAGAGGCACATGAAAAGATGCTCAACATCACTAATTATTAGAGAGATGCAAATCAAAACTACAATGAGGTATCTCCTCATACCAGTTAGAGTGGCCATCATCAAAAAATCTACAAACAATAAATGCTGGAAAGGGTGTAGAGAAAAGGGAACCCTCTTGCACTGTTGGTGGGAATGTAAATTGATACAGCCAGTATGGAGAACAGTATGGAGGTTCCTTAAAAGACTAAAAATAGAACTACCATATGACCCAGCAATCCCCTTACTGGGCATATACCCTAAGAAAACTATAATTCAAGAAAACACATGCACCCCAATGTTCACTGGAACACTATTTACAACCGCCAGGACTTGGAAGCAACTGAAATATCCATCGCCAGATGAATGGATAAAGAAGATATGGTACATATATACAATGGAATATTACTCAGCCATAAAAAGGAATGAAATTGGGTCATTTGTAGAGATGTGTATGGACCTAGAGACTGTCATACAGAGTGAAATAAGTCAGAAAGAAAAAACAAATATTGTATATTAAGGCATATATGTGGAATCTAGAAAAATGGTACAGATGAACGTATCAGCAAAGCAGAAATAGAGACACAGACGTAGAGAACAAACGTATAGACACCAAGGGGGGAAAGGAGGAGTGGGATGAATTGGGAGATTGGGACTGACATATATACACTACTATGTATAAAGCAGATAACTAATGAGAACCTGCTGTATAGTACAGGGAAATCTACTCGGTGCTCTGTGGTGACCTAACGGGAAGGAAATCCAAAAAAGAGGGGATATATGTATACATATAGCTGATTTACTTTGCTGTACAACAGAAACTAACACAACATTGTAAAGCAATTATACCCCAATTTAAAAATAAACTGAAAAAATAAAGAACTCCTACAACTCAACAACAAAAGAACAAACAACCCGATTCAAAAATGGGCAAAGGATTTGAATAGACATTTCTCCAAAGAATATGTACAAATGGCCAACAAGCACATGAGAAGATGCTCAACATCACTAACCATCAGTGAAATGTAAATCAAAACTACAATGAGCGGGCTTCCCTGGTGGTGCAGCGGTTGAGAGTCCGCCTGCCGATGCTGGGGACACCGGTTCGTGCCCCGGTCCAGGAGGATCCCACATGCCGCAGAGCGGCTGGGCCCGTGAGCCATGGCCGCTGAGCCTGCGTGTCCGGAGACTGTGCTCCACAACGGGAGAGGCCACAACAGTGAGAGGCCCACGTACCGCAAAAAAAAAAAAAAAAAAAACTACAATGAGATATCACTTCACACCCATTAGCACACCTACTACTACTACTACCAAAAAAAAAAGGAAACAAGTGGTGAGGATGTGGAGAAACTGGAATCCCCGTGCACTGTTGGTGGGAATATAAAATGGTGCAGCTGTGGTCCATGTGTTACCATGAAAAACAAACGATGGGGTTTGGAGAGCTTCCAGTTGATGAACACACTGATGTGCTGGGAGCGGGGCACACCTGGAGGAGTCGTGAAAGCGCCAAACCATTTCCCACATACCTTGTCCTATGCATTTCTTCCTTTTGGCTGTTCCTGAGTTGTATGCTTCATAATAAACTGGCAATAGAGAGTAAAGCACTTCCCTGAGTTCTGTGAGCCATTCTAGCAAATTATTAAACCCGAGGAAGAGGGTGTGGAGACCCCAGATTGATGGTTAGTTGGTCAGAAGCACCATTCACAACCTGGGACTTGGGTTTGGCATCTGAAGTAGGGGGCAGTCTTGGGGAACTAAGCCCTTAACCTGTGGGGTCTGTGCTAACTCTGGGTACTTAGAGTCTGCATTTAATTGTAGGACCCCTAGTTGGAGTCCAAAGAGTTGGAGAATTGCTTAATGTGAGGGAAAGGTCCCACACATTTGGCATCAGAAGTGCTCTGTGTACAGAGGAAACAAGTTTCCTTTTACTATCTGAAAGAACTGAAAGCAGGGTCTCAAAGACATATTTGTGCACCCATGTTCATAACACGATTATACACAAACAGCCAAGAGGTAGAAGCAATCCAAGTGTCCACTGACAGACGAATGGATGAACAAAATGCGGTATATCCATATGATGGAATATTATTTAGTCTTAAAAAGGAAAGAAATTCGGACACATGCTGCAACATGGATGAAACTTGATGATATTATCCTAAGTGAAATAAGCCAGCTACTGAAAGATAAATATTGTGTGATTCTACTTTTATGAGGTACCTACAGTAGTCACATTCATAGAGAAAGAAAGTAGAATGGTGGTTGCCAGGAGCTGGGGAAAGGGATGAATGGGGAATTATTGTTTAATGGGTATAGAGTTTCAGTTTTGCAACATGAAAAAGTTCTGGAGATTGGCTACAAAACAGTGTGCATATGCTTAACACTACTGAAGTGTACACTTAGAAATGGTTACGATGGTAAATTTTATGTTATGTGTATTTTACAATTAAAATTTTTTAAATGTTAAAGTAAATTGAAACATGTCAACAGAATCATTTCTTCATTTGCTGCTCTGTCCATCTGGCTCAGCTTCTATAAACTTAGAAAGTCAGAGTGGCAGGGATTTGGAGACACAGTTCCATTTTAAAGATTAAAAAATGGAGGCGACAGTGGCAAGGTGACCTGTGAAGGTCTTGGTATGTTAGCAGTGAAGACAAGACTAGAAAGAAGAGCTCCTGACTGGCCCCCTCCAGACGGGGGCCCTACCCCGCACCACAACCCCGACGGGGACAGTCCATTTCTTGATGGAGATGATAATAACTCTCATCCAAACCGGGGTTCTTCCTTCCCACACACCACTGGTCTGGTGGATCAGGCAAGCCCAGGAAAAAAATGTACCTTGGTTAAAGTCCGTATGATCTGAATTTCAAAGCCCCTGAACAAACCTGGAAGGAGAAGAGGAGAGAAATACGACCAACTTAAATGTTGACAGGGCACACTGAGTATTGTTTTTTCCACTGAGTTATTTTGTAATTTTTCCCAACATGAGCCTTAAAAGGAATATTACCCTTCAAGGCAGACTGAATAAATGACCTACTGTTTTTCTGCCTGTCTACAATAATATCACAGTATGAGGTATGCATATAAATTATTTTTTATTTTACTTTGATGATTGGGAAAAGATACCAACATATAAGATCAAATCAAAGCTAGCAAATAACTCTACTGGCAGTTAAGTGGCTGATTTTATGAAAATAAAGACATGTCTGTTTAAACCAAAAAAATGTTGCCGCTGGCACTCTGCTTTGGCTGGGACCTTTGAAATTAAGGCCAGGGTGCAGCATCGGCCTCCTTTGAAGCACTCGCAGTACCTGGAACAGCACACAGATGTGCGGTCCACGCAAGTGCCTTGGAAACAATCCCTCTCACCAGTGGTTTATTTTGAGAAGATTCACTTTCAGCTGGTAAGGCTTTGCCCGGATACATTTCTCAGGGCTGATGGTGGCTCCTCATGCAGCACGTGATGTAGATTCTCTTTGCATTTTGCAGACATTCCTGTTGTGCCTTAACCAGGGGTGAGTGCCACAACCAAAACAGCTGGGAATATTCCCTCATTCCCCCCAGTCTGCAAGCCAGTCTGCAATTCTGCCCCAGGTTCTAGCCCTTCAAATCTTGAGGGATGTTTTCTTCGTCCACAGGTTGTTTAGGTTTTAACTGGCTGTTTAAAGTTAAAAAGGAATATCTCAAGCCCCCTGCCATGCTGAAAGGAGAATAAAAAAGAGTGAAAATAAATTCCATAGATGGTACAACCAACAGTTACTGACATCTTTACAAATACAGTCAACTTAATTTTTTTGATAACTTGGCTGTTTGTTTCTTTTTCTTTATCTTATTGAGGTATAGGTGATTTACAATGCAGTCAGCTTAATTTGAAGGGAATTATTGAGCCCCCTGTTTTACTTCCTCAAATTTGTGTATTAATCGATGAGAATTAACCCTCTTATTTACAAATCTGTGGGGGCAGAAAAAGAGCAGATCAAGTCTAATAGAGAAACTTGGAGAAAAAATAAGCACTTGGTTATTACTTGAATAAACTATACAGTATTATCCTAAAATAGTGTCCCACCTCTGAGACCCCAAAATGCCTTTCAAAAGTATCTTAGTCACTCCTCCCAATATCCTTAGCACATGGCGCTTCAATGGAGCACAGATTTAGTGAGGCCCATTCACAAAAGGAAGACACACAACTTAAGGGCTTTTCTGAGAGGAGGAAACAGAAAATTCGATCTCAACCCTTTGAATTTTCATTACATGTCCCCATGGTCCACATGAAAGAGTATGTCATAAAAAGAGATGAACTGAATGATTTAAGTAAATTTTATCCTAGAAATTGTAAAGTCAAAACACCTCCTGCCCTTTCACTTATAACATATTAATCAGGCTTTTAAAAATTCATATTTTACTAAAATGAGTTCATTTAAAAATCCCACTTACCAAATATTTAACCCTACAAAGTTTAATACGGAGAAAATGTAGTCTCCACCTACTAACATTCCAATGTAGGCAACGGATACGTTCTGCAGAAAAAGAGAGGATTAATGATTTTAAAAGTAAAGGCTTTAGGGGGAAAACTCATATATATAGTGAAACCTGAAACTAAATACTTTAGTTACTTTTCAAAAAGACTCGCATATAGCAGGGGTTCGTGGAATATTGAATAAGTGGATAAAAACCATTACATATGGCTTTATAAAGAAAATGAAATAAACTACAGCACCATAATCACAGAAACTGCATTATCCATACCCTCTTCCAGTTAATACATAGGAAAAAGATGTAAGAGTTGGGTTGTAATCAGCTTTCCAGATTTCATCTCTTTACCATCATTGGGTAGTGAATTTTAATCATATTAGTCCTAAACTTGAAAAAACTAAGACATCTGATAAATTAAAAGCAGTACTCTGTCCAGTGTATTCTCAGAGGCCCTTGGGCAGCCAACAGAGAAGTCTACTGTTGAAGCACTCGCTCACGGTAGGAGTTCACGTGAACAGAAACACAAAGCAACTGCAGAACAGAATTTAGAACACCTCCACCCTCCTATTCATTAGTGTGTGTTCAAATGCATGTACACACACGCAGCATACACACCAGTCCCAGAGTTAATCACCTTATAATTGAGCATAGATCTAGGCTGAAAACAGTTCTTCACAAGAATTCCCTTTCTTAGTCAGCAAGGTTCTCCCAGAAAACCAAACTGTAGATCACAAGGTATCTTAGCACAGAAATTTGGTATTTTTTTCAGCTATTTCACTTGGTTTTCCCAGACCATCCTTTCCCACCATTCCCAATTTAAGTCATAATTTGTCTCTTCCTTTTAAATTAGCAAGTCTTCCCTCTGTTTTGTGGATTAGGAGATTAGAAGACCTAAGGAGGGATCACCCAGGCACAGCTGAAAATATCACAAGCCTCCATTCTTACTACAGCACGGATAATAACAACAATAAAATCAAACGGTCAATTTCCCAATTTGGTTGTGCATTTCGAGGCTTCAACCACTTACCTTGATGGCTCCAACCACCGCCGTCGTCAGGGCCGAATTGTAATAGCTGCACAAAAGTGTGGAGTACATCAACAGAAACCTGGGGCAAGGAAGAAAACACTTGAGTGTGCCTTACTGGTCTGGGTAATAAACAGATTAAGAAGAGCCAGTAAGTGGCCCACACAGGCATTTTAAACAAATAAAAAAGAAAAACACACCATAAAGATTAAAAAATACCTACATCTTAAAACATCTCAATAATTCGATATTTTCAGGAAAATGGTCCAGTTGTGCATTAGCCAAACTTTCTACCTTAGGTGTCCTTTTCATTTTGTCTGTGCATTTTCCATCAGTGTTTCCACAAGAAGGGGATAAGGACAATGAGATTTTTTAAGTGATCTGAAATCTTTCGCTTAACAGATGTTACAACAGTGGGTTTCAGTCCTCTCTGTGCATCAGAATCACCTGGTGCACTTTTAACACCATGATGCCTGGCAGAGGGCCTCCAACTGGTTTGAGGTGGGGACCCAGCCATATGCCATATCAAAGCTCTATGGATGATTCTAATGTGCAGCCAGTTCTGAGAACCACTGGTGTTAGCAGGGAAAACCAGCTGCAATGATTGCTAGCTTTGGACAAAGAAGATTTAAATAATGGATTCCACATGCCAGTGGTACTCCTGTACCTTATTACTAAAGTTAATCTGACAGGCATTCAACACTGACCAGTATATTGACACTTGTCAACAAAATGACTACAGAATCATGACCAAACAACCAGATAAGAAAATATACATATACACAGGAATGTAGAATTCAATCAGAGATAAAGAAATATATTCATTTCACTCAAGTAGTAATGAAAATTAGCTGTAACCTAGCTGGGGTGCAAAATTTCATCCACTGGAATCAGATGATTAAATGTTGAAAGAGGTTACAATAAAAACTGGTTGAGAATGAGACTGGAAAGATACTGAGAGAGCATAAGATGTATTGGATTTTAAAGCTAAACACCAGTTAGAAGGCATGAGCTTGGGAACTGTACTCTAAGAAAGGGCTCAGCCCCTAAGCATTAGGGAGACTCCCCCTGGGGCAATTTAGCACCCAGTCCCAGGTCCAGGACCAAACTTCTGATTGTTAATAACAGAATCTAGATCACAAACAGTAACCATTTTTGTCCTGAGTATGTTCATTACCAGGGATGACAGAGAAAAAATATTAGAGATAACATACGTCAAGCTGAGGAATAAACTCAATTACAAACAAATTCTGTAATCTTCAAAATAATGTCTGTCTTTGTTATTAAGGTAATTACAATAATTTGGCAAGTTAGAGAATCCAACATCTTGGTCTTTGTGGCTTGTATTTAAAATGTGCAATTGATATTAAATTTGCAATTTTCACTTGAATGGGATAAGAAAATCTAAGTCTGTACACAGTATTCAAATGTTTAAAAGAAGCTGATTTACCACATTGCCAAGCTTGGTTTATTAGATTTCAAAGAGTTGCTAGGCTTGTAAAGCAACCTGGCCCATCAGCTTCTCTAGGGCCTTATTAAGGCTTGGAATTGCTGGAAAAATCAGGTAAATTACATTTGTAAATCACATTTTAAATATTTAATTCTTTTTTAATTCACTAAGTTGTAAACAAGACTGATTTACAGTAAATTATTTAGGAGATTTCAATCAGTTAAACTCGGGTTAACAAACCATTAATCAAATAATGAAAGTAAATATTCTTATGTTAGTATAAAAATTACTAGCTTTATAAATAGAGCAAGAATATTTATAAATTGGCTTAAGAAAATCTAAGTTTTTTTAAATTTTTACAATTTTAATAAATTCAACATTAATTTAGAGTCCCAGGGAACTATAAATAATCCAACTTATGCATAAAATGAAAAGATTAAAAAACTCAACCTGGTGTTACTTGGTGCCTGCTCTGCTGGGCCTGGGTAGTAAGAGTATATAAACCCACAGCATCTGCCCTGAAGGAGCTAAGAGTCTAATAAAATAACAGAGATCACAACTCCCAGGAGGGGCCCAACCCAATTTCCAGGACACAGAAAAGCTTCCTGCAGGCTTCCTAAACTGGAGCGCAGCCTTAAACCCAGAACAGTCATGAATATCCTTTATGTCCTATTTTTGCTTAAAATTTCCTACTCCAGGGTTTCCAATCATGCAATGTTTTCTTCATTCCACATTTTAGCGAAACCACCTTGGCCAATATCCATCTAGCCTGAGTGTGGGCCACTAGGACACTCACCCACCAGCTGGGCTGAGCGAGGGGAGGAGTCCCTGTCTCCAGCCTCCTGGGGGAGTTTGAATTAGCGGCAGTCCTCCTAAGTGACAGATGGCATCTGACACAGGAACAGCCACTTTCTGCAGACAGAAAGGCTGCACTTCTCAGTATACCACCTGGGTGTCCCCAGAGAGGGTAACTATAAAATGACGAGGATCAAAGGAGTGTATTAAAACTTTTTCTAAGAAACATGATTTACTTCTATACGCAAATATGCACCTACACTGTCCTTTGGCTAAGACCAAGGTTCTGAATTAAAAGACCCTCCATTAACTCAATGCAAAGGAAACCACTTTTAACACCAAAAATGTCAACCTCCACATGACAGCTTTGATTTTAGCATCTGTGAATTAATAAAATGTAAAGATATTCAGCACTGCTGAATTCTCAGTACATTTCTGCCATTACGTACTTATAAAATCGTACTTATCATCTGTGTACATTTGAAAAATAATGGCACATACAAAAGATACACATTTATTCAGACAACAGATACCAGCTGGTGTTTTGGCTTATAGGGCCCCAAGGGATGGAGGTACCCATGTGAAAACCCCTGAACCAGAACCCTTGCTCAAAGGTTTCTTCCTGTTTCTGAAAAATAACACAAAAAATAACTGATTAACCCAAAGTTGGACGGCACACTCGTGGGAGTCACAAGCAGAACTCAAATGGCCTTGTTTACAACTTGTTGCTGGTTACCATTCCATGTACAAGCATACATAGAAGTCCAACACAAATGTTCAAATAATAAAATGCTACCTTTACACTCCTTCCACCAACCACAATTGTACCCAAGCACATTACTCTCTTATTTCAGATTTCAAAGAATTTCAAGTAATCTCATCTTGCCCATCTCTGGTAAGAACTCTCTCCTACCCCAGACCTCAGTGGTGTGCCAGGGAAGCCAAAGTCATGGGAAAAATATGATCTATTTTCCTGGAGCATTGATTTTACGCTACAATTTGGTTTGTTGGGAAATGATGGAAATATCTACACTCTTTGAAGGTTCTGTCACTCCTGTGTCCAAGCAATCAGCAGAATCCTATTTTGTCTTGGACCCTACATCTTGGCAGGATCAGTGAAGGTTCAAAGAATAGAACATTTTTTATGCTGTGAGTAGGGAAAATTGATACATCTGTGTTTCTATTAAGGAATATATTACTGCTTCAGTGAGATCAAAGAGGCTGCTACTAGGGCAGAAACAGATTAGGGTAATTGCCTCCAGGGCTTAGGGGCTGGTGCCAGATGCTGGTGTGAATGAACCAGAACCTGTCACTTCTCGGCAAGATTAAAAAGAACAGCAGAGCTAGCTTTCTAAAATCTAGTTTGTCAACTTAAATTTCAGTCTTATTTTACCTCTACCTGCATTAAATTATCGTGGCTCCCACAATCCAGTTTACCTGCCTGATGCAATTTCACTTCATCATATGCTTTATTTACAAACTCTTGATTACAAATAGCATTTCTTAAAGCTGAATCATTCACCGTGACTCAGAAGAAAAGTCTGCTCTTTTCACCATTCCACTGGCTTCTTAACATACAGTTCTAAAGTGTTATAATTTTTAAATTATATTTTCAACTCCGGATAGAGGGTTGGTGGTCAGAGAAAGCAAGTTTGAAATGCAAACTTGAAAGCAGTGAAAATAAGAAAGAAGCTGAGAGAGAGTTCTCTGGAGTCAAGGGTTGGAACACGCACATGTTAGTCCTGAGGCTCCTTGAGCATGAACCGAAGAGAAGGGACAGCCAGTTCCAGCTGTTCTGAAAAGCAAGGATATGCTCAGAAGCTTACAATGGTTTCTATCACTGCAAAGAAGCAAGTGACCTAATCATCGTGTCCTCTGAGTGAGAAACTAAGAAAGCAGGATTCTGAAAAATGCACCATGCCAAAATGGAAGTTTCCTTCTAGAGCAGTTTCAGAATTAAAACATGGCGGTTGAAGATGAAGTAGACATAACAGAAGAAAAACTATTGAAGTCATGGGCTATAGGCAGAACCAAATCTGTCTGGGGTGAAAAAGGACAGCCAAACTGAACAGGCTGGGCTCAGAAATAGAAATATTAACAACAAAAACAATAGTTAACACTTACTGAACATTTTCTATATGTCTACACTAAGGGCTCTTTACTCATTCAATCCACATAACCTTATAAATTAGCTACATTACATCATTGTTCCCATTTTAAAGATAAGGAAATTGAGGCTCAGAGAGGGTAGATAACTTGTCCAAGGACCCAGAGCTAAAAAGTGGCAAAGCCAGGATTCAAATCTAGGCCATCTGATTCCAGAGTACAGGCACCTGTTAGAATGATGCCATGATTTTAGTGTCCTCAAAAGACCCACTTAAAAAACTGAGATCTACCTAGTTTTTACCCTGAAAGTTGTAGAATCTGAAATATTAATATTTTCATCATTTACTGATTTATTTTTAATTACTATGCCTTTATGACATTTTTACATGCAAAATGACTACTGATAAAATACTGATTAAGAACTTTTATCAAGAGAGTATTTGTTTTCTAGGAAGCACATTATTAATTGGAAAAAAAGGCATGTAGTTGTAGATAAATAGGGTCAAGATTCTGACAAAGAAGCCCCAGAAGTGCCAGCTCAGGCACTGCCCACCCCGCCACTCACTGCAGACAGCTGACATCAAAGGGTTTACTTCTTGGGACTTCCCTGGTGGCACAGTAGTTAAGAATCCGCCTGCCAATACAGGGGGCACAGGTTCGAGCCCTGGTCCAGGAAGATCCCACATGCCGTGGAGCAACTAAGCCCATGCGCCACAACTACTGAGCCTGCGTGCCACAACTACTGAGGCCCGCGTGCTCTAGGGCCCGCGTGCTGCAACTACTGAAACCCACGTGCCTAGAGCCCGTGCTCTGCAACAAGAGAAGCTACCACAATGAGAAGCCCACGCATCACAATGAAGGGTAGCTCCCACTCACCACAACTAGAGAAAGCCCGCACATAGCAAAGAAGACCCAACGCAGCCAAAAATAAAATTAAAAAAAAAAAAAAAAGGTTTACTTCTTGATTTCCTTCATGTAATGGCTAAATAGTAAAGTGCAAGTGAAAAAAACAGACAAAACAAAACAAAAATATTATCAAGTTTATAATGACATGAGATAAAACTAAAACTTGGCTCTGCTGTTCACAGGTGAACATGGGCTTAGGCAAGGAAACGTGCTGGTCTGAGTTTGTGTGATATGGTTTGACTTTCTTTTAATTGTAATGGGGGGAAAAGGATGATTTCACAAAGGGTAACTCACAAACACAGCTTAGTAGATTTTTTTCAAAGTTGTATGTTCTCAGTCAACAACTGGGAAAACTACAAATATCTTACTACACTTAGGCATCCAACAATGGCTGCCTAAGTACTGAGAGCACTTAGTACTCACCCACTGCCAAACAACCAATGCCTGAAAGAACACATTATTTGAGAGACTGTTGGTTTTGCAACAGGCACAAGAGATTGCCTAATATCCCCCCTTTGGAAAGGGGAGAAACTGGGTACAGAGTGATAAGGGGATTTGAGCCAGGCAGGCATCAGAGCAGCACACAATAGGTACAAGATCAGGGTGCTTCAGGGCAGAGACCATTGCAAAACAGCACTGTCTGTAAACTGAGCCCTGGGCCAAACCCCAAGTGAGAAGGGACACTAGCCCACTGAGGCCAGACCCTCAAAAAGGCCAGGGTGGCCCAGGTCAGGGGCACACCTGGCTACCAACTAGACTAAAAACAATTTGTCCCTGCAGGGAAGTTTCTCAAATTCCTATTTTCAGTCCACAGGACTGATTAAGATTAAATAATATGCTCACAAATCACAGGTCACCAAATACACAAGAAAGCAAACCATAATGATACTCACAAACTACATATTTAGTCAACCAACTACATATTTAGATTCTCAAGAACTGCAGACATTGGAATCGTCAGATGCAGAATACAGAATAGCTATGTGTGTAATATTTAAAGAAATAAAAGGTACAGTCTCAAAGATGACCAACAAAAGAATGTTAAGAATGAACAGACAAGTTTGAAAACAAACTGTGGAACTTTTACAAATAAAGTAAAAATTGTTAAAATCAAAAACTCCAGCAGGGAGGGGCAAGATAGGGGTAGGGGATTAAGAGGTACAAAGTACTATGTATAAAATAAGTAAGGTACAAGGATATACAGTACAACACAGGGAATATAACCAATATTTTATAATAACTCTAAATGGAATATAACCTTTAAAAACTGTGAATCACTATGTGGTATACCTGAAACACATAATACTGTACAGCAGCTATACCTCAATAAAAAATAACTTTAAAAAAAACCTCCAAAGAACAGGTTAAACATTAGATCAGACACAGCTAAAGAGAGAATTACTGAACTTGAGGATATACATAAATATTTTTACTGATGTGATTACGTTACTGCAACTAAGATCAAGTTTAAGAATTGAAGAGTGTTGATCAAAGACTCATGAATCTTAGTTCATTTACACACAATGAAAATTACAGTACTAGTAATGTAAAAAAATAAGGGGGAATTCATCTTTCTTCACAGGAAAAATCTTTTGACAAATAATTCCAAGACAGTCATTCAAAGACCCTTTCTTATGGGATAAGACACAGGTGCTTGTGTATACATGGAGCCCAGTCCAGGAAGGATACTCCAAACAGCAGTTGCTTCTGGAGAGGAAGACTGCAGTGCCACAAGGCAGGGAAGAAGGGAAGGTGGCTTATGTTCCCTATGCATCCTTTTGCAGCTTTTGTATTATTTACTAGTTGTATGTATTATCTATTCACGAAAAGGACTTTTCAAGTTTGGGGAACATATAAAAAGACAAACTGCATGGCCACTCAACAGGAAGCTATACCTAAGGAAAATTTTAAGAACAAAAGCCTAAAATTATTGGGCAATATAATGGCCTGGGCATCTCTCCTCAGAAAACACCCTGAATATAACAGGTACAACACTACAGAAAATGGTTATTTCCAAATATTTATGTGAGGTGAGAACCTTGGGAACCTTGGGACATTGTGACAAAGACAAAAAAACACATTTGAATTTGATAGGGCTGCTGATTTTATTTCAAACTAACTTTCAGAAATCAATATGCAACATCATATTTTGGAGGTCACATTTAGCATGGGTCCCAATCCACTCCTCTGCTGCAGTGCTACTTTTCAGTAGAAGTTGGAGAAGCAAAAAGGGATTTTGACAGAGCAGACGGAATGTATATTTTGATTTGACTTGTTAAGAGATACCATAGACCAAAGCTTCTTCTTATCTATGGCTTCTTACCCCAAAAAACAGGAAAGAAGAAACTGTATGATAAATAGAACATTCTTCCATTGGTTGAATTCAGTAGCCTATTATCAAAAAGAAAGAAAACTAATGGTTAGATTAATAATACTGGTTTTACCAGTGTGTACACTCTAGTACAAATTCCAGTTTCGCAAACAGAAAATACAGTTTCAAAAATCCTGGGTAATACCAGCTGTGTGACATTGGGCTAATTATTTTTCCTCCCTGAACCTCAGGCTCATTTTACAAATGGGGATTATTTTTTAAAAAACTTCCTCAAAAGGTCAATGTGAGGATTTAATGAAATTGTTTAGAAACTTACAGGTGGCAAGAACAAAATGACAGCTATTATTGCTGTGGCTATCATTAAATCTTTACTAATTTGTAGTCATAAAATCAGCGTTGTGTTTTTAATAAATAATATTAAAAGAAAGTTTATTATAAATTTAATAATGCTGGCAAGACTAAGAAAACTTAAAGTTCATAAACTGTTTTCAAGAATTTGCACAAGAGGAAAAAAAAAGGGAATTCCCTGGCGGTCCAGTGGTTAGGACACAGAGCTTTCACTGCCAGGGCCCAGTTCCATCCCTGGTTGGGGAACTAAGAGCAGCCAAAAAAAAAAGAATTTGCAAATGCTTAGGAAGTATCATGAACAAATAAACTATTGTGTGCTATTTACAAAGCAATCAAGTAATTGGGGTAGAGGAGCTGGTAGACAGAGAAGTTTAAGGCAGCTTCTGCTCTTAGGTGAGAAAATAAAAACCCTTTTCAGGTAACAATAAAAAGGAGTATTTTATTCATGATTTGTCCCTTGCCTGCGTCCAAAAATGACTTTACGGTGACTCAAGACTATATGTAAGTACATGCTGAATACATGATTAAATATAAATTCTATTCACTTTCTATTAAGCAATACTTTGTTAGCCAAGTTTTAGTAACTTTGGAGATTTAAAACTATTTAAATCTTTCTTAAGTTTAAATCTTAAGTTTATAGTTCAAATTTTTAAACCAATTAAAATGGAATTCTCTTCTCTGATTACACTTTACTGTCACTGTTTCATTAGTAACACTTTGACCACCTCTTATGAAAAAATCCACGTTAAATGTTGATAACTGCCAAACATGGTTGATGGGTACATGGGATTTGTTATACTATTCTCTTTCCTTCTGAACAGGTTTGAAGGTTTTCATAATAAAACTTTCTTTTTAACACTTACTTGTGAAATAAAAAATATAATAAATATAAATCTGTCTTACTGGCAAGCCCCAAGCTGACCAGAGGGTCATAAAACATCCAGGACAGTTTATACCAAGAGAGTCAAAGATCAAAACCAAACAGAAACTTATGGAAAACATTCTGTGTCTGAAAAATTAAATAAGATTGTGAATAAGAGCAAAGCATATGCCCCAAACTTCAAACCAAAGGTAGGAAAACACTTATTTACTCAAAGAACTGGGAGTATTTATGAAAACAGTATACAAAAACTATATATTCTTGATACCACATAAACCATTGAGAGCTATGTAGTAATTTTCATAAAAATACTTGGATTCATTGCCAGCCTAAATTTTGATAGATTTTAGTTTTATTTTGTTTCTTTAATAATGATGAGGCTCTGCTGGTGGCATTTTAAAAAGTCATGTGGCATGACATTTATTTGAAAACATAGAAAATAAAGATGAGTAACAATATTAAGTACTTCCTCCTTTAGACTCACTATTGCTATGAAAATATGTTGGAGTGTGAATCTTTTTCATTTTTCATTAATGTGTTTTTTAATCAGAAAAAAAGTCCTATTATTTATCCCTATTCATCAACTGCAACACACTAAATGTACCTTGAACTTATTGCAATGATTCAAATAACTAAAGAAAGTTCACCCACTATTTTCCAGGGGCCTAATTTGTTAACAAGAGGAGCTGGCATTACTGACTTTGTCAATCACAGATAGAATCAAGGTGCTATTACCAGATCTGCTGACTGTGTTAAGTCGATGACTGTGTAAGTCCAAGGTCCAAGAGTGAACCCCCAGTACAGTGAGTCACACACACGAGTCTTAACACAATCTCTGACCCCCTACAGTCAACCGGGAATAATGACTCATCCAAGTACTCCTTCCATTAACAAGGGAAGTTAACCTTTCACTCGAATTCCTCAATTAACTTTCAATACAATCAAACCAAACTTGGCAAATAAAATGCAATTTTATATTGCAGACTAACACACCTAATTATGTAAGTTCACTACTTTTTTGTATTTGGTTCACAGTCTAAAATGGATTCAGCCATGGTTAAAAGTGACCAACTGGAAGAAATTCATAGTGATTCAATGAACACAGAGCAAAACAACATTAGTAGTGAAAAATCTTACTATTTTTTCCTACAGAGTTTTTTAAATTACTGGTTACAGTGTTATCTCTTTTGGCATCTCTTATCATATAATAATTTTAAATTAGAGCCAAATTTTTAACTTTATGGTTTTTGTATCTTTGTCATCTTATAGAAAGCCTTCTCTTAACAGTCTCTTACAGAAAATAAATATATTTTTCTGATTATAATTTTTCTTATAAACTTTTAAATTAAATCCATATATTTAGCTCTGATCCATCTGGAATTTCAGTGAATAGTTATCATTGCTGGGGCTCTCAGGTAACTATAGTAACTTCTGTTTGAAATCTTAAGAGACTGATCAAATGGAAGAGGCTAGATGGGTAAATACTGAGATATTCCAGCATCGAAAGCCAGAATAGGAGCATAATGTTCTCCTAGAACACCAGGATTGAATAAGTTAAGGTAAATGTTAGGCCTCTTATACTTTCTAAGCTATAAGTGATAGGTTATAGTTTTTATCATATGTGAAGGAAAGAAACAAACACTTTTCATATACTGATACAAATTAAAAAATTGAGGGGCTTCCCTGGTGGTGCAGTGGTTGGGAATCTGCCTGACAATGCAGGGGACACAGGTTCGAGCCCTGGTCCGGGAAGATCCCACATGCCACAGAGCAACTAAGCCCGTGCACCACAACTACTGAGCCTGTGCTCTGGAGCCTGTGAGCCACAACTACTGAAGCCTGTGTGCCACAGCTACTGAAGCCCATGAGCCAAGAGCCAGTGCTCCGCAACAAGAGAAGCCACCACAATGAGAAGCCTGCACACTGCAAGGAAGAATAGCCCCCGCTCACCGCAACTAGAGAAAGCCTGTGTGCAGCAACAAAGACCCAACGCAGCCAAAAATAAATAAATAAAATTCTTTTTTTAAATTGAGATTACAGCGGATGATGTGTTTCTAGAGCCAGACAGCCCCCTGGATCTATCACTTACTGTCCTTGGAAAGTTTTTTAAACACTGTGCCCTAGATTCCTTGTCTATAAAATGGGGATAATAATAGTACCTTCTCCTCAAGCTACTGTGGGAATGCAACGAGACAGTTCATGTAGAATACTTCAAACAATGTCTGATAGAATAATTCCTCAATAATTATTAGCTATTTTTACTATTACTTGAGAAAGTATAGTAATTCTGCATGGTAATCATTACAAGCAGGTGGCAACTTCTGAAAGCACCATGCTATAAGTTTGTAAGTCAACGATTTAAATGTGGACATACATATTCCTACTGAAATGCTGTTATAAATTATTAACATAATACATGTAGTCTATTTTCAAAAGGTACCTAAAATTCAGTTTCTGGTCACTACGCCATTTAAAACATTGTTCCCATAGGGAAATGTGCTTTTAGTTTCAATCAGGTGTTCTAAGAGTTCCTAGAAGTTTCTAGATTTCTCTTTCTAGAAATAAATATATATCTGAAAGGCTATAAAGTACCAGAATCTCAGAAGAGATAAACTCCAGAGACTCAAAAGAAAAACTCATTTTTATGATAATGAAAAGAGACAAGCCAGTAGGACATTGAGGGCTCATAATTTCACCTTGTTTATGTAATGCTGCTGACACTAAACTGGTTTAATTGATGGTAGCTGAAAAATAAATAATGTGCTTTTAGATATTCTGCCCTGTTCATCATTGCTAGAGGTATACGGGGTGCTTGCTTTAACTTCCAATATTCTGAACTAACAGTGAGGCCCAGGTTCACACACTGAGACCCCTTTAATCAAAACTGGGGTTTCTTGGTAGTTTTCAATATAAACATATGGAAATGGATGTTTACCCCTGGGGACATTGCTGCTAAGCCGGTCAACCTTTCTCTTGTTCTGAGAAAGGAACTGTACAAGGGAGAAAGTATAGTTCTGAGAAAGAACAACGAGCCCTGACATTCACCCCAGGAGTCCCTGGAATCTGAAAGCTTCTAAAGTCATTCAAACCCCTAAAAGGTGACAAATGGGATTGACGCTCAACCCGTGTGCACCACACAACCATGCTGACTGTTAAATACAGAAATGCTGTCAACGTCTGCCGCTGGGGTGGGGGCGAAGGTGGGGGACTGTGAACCCCACCCCCGGCCCAGCAACAACAACAGGGTCAATGAAGGTTAATGCCCAGCCCACGGTGTGGAGGGAGACGTCTGTGGGAGAGGCCAGAGGCCACACTAGACCAGGAGTTTGCCCAGCACACCTCGTTTCTCACATGAACTTAAAGTGGTTTGTCTGGTAACTTTCTGAGCCCGCACATTTCAAGGTAGCCATGCGGATGTTACGGGGTGAACATTCACTCTTCCTAAGAGATACCCACCCCCTAACTGGGCCTCCCATCCTTCTACTAACTTATCATTTTATTTGTCTCTGACAGGTGTACAGCAGATAAGGTGAACAGGGCAAATACCAAAAGAGCAAAACCTTCTCAAAATTCAAATGTAGATCCTGGAATATTTAGAGGCAAATGCCATGATGTCTGGGATTTACTTTAAAATATTCCGGGTGGGGGGGAAGTGAGAGCAGATGAGGGTAGATGAAATAAGAAGGGTGAAATGCCAAAAAGTGTTGAAGCTGTGTGACAGGTACATGAGAGTTCATTAAATTATTCTATTTTGTGTGTATTTTTCCAAATGTCCATAACAAGGGTAATAAATAAGTAAATCCATTTTTTAAAACTATCAAAATCCCCTTCAAAGTTAACTAGCTTTCTCAGGATCCCCATGCCAACAAAGGGGAAAGTGAGACTCACACTCAGATTTTTGTTGTTGTTTTGCAAAAAGCTTCAAGACCAGAGTTTTTTTGACTACTTCCTGCTACTCCCCACAGTTCTAAAGATAAATGCCAAGAAAAGGAAAGTGTCAAAGGTATTACTGGGCGTACCAAACATCTTGCTTTCGGAAATCCTAGTTACCTTTATACACTTTTTATTTCAGTAAGTACCACAGGTTAAATATTAAAATTTTAGGCACTGCTAAGTAAGAATGAATGACTGTCATCAGCTCACCTGTCGAAGGTCTCCAGTAGAGACACTAATGATAAGAGTTGGGATAATCATGAAGCAGGCATTGTAGAAAAGCACTCCATATTTCCCTAACTCCTGCAAAAACCAAGAAAACTCCGCTCAATTTTAGAAATATGAAGCATCAGACTTCCTGGAGCCATTTATTTTATTTTATTTTCCCCTGAAGCTAATTACACAACCATGTACTTATGCAGAGTTAGAACATGCATTCTGACCAGCTCTGTATTGGAATATTTTCAGCAAATTTCTGATGTAAAATGCTTCATCTCAAGCGTACTGTGATTTCCAAAAAAAAAATTTGCTCTATCCAAAAAATGACGGATAAAGTGGAAGGAGATGGATGGACTCCGAGGTTCCATCCATCTCTAACATTCTAATTGTTCTTTTTTTGAAAGCATGCTATTCAAAATGGGAAATGTGGAACAAAGTAAACAGCATTAACAATATTAATATAAACAGAACTCCTTAAAAAACATCTGCTCTTTCTATTAAGGAACAGCAGGGTTAAAACACCAGGTATCTTGTTTTCCAATCTTGCATAAATTTAATTTTCGTTAGAGGCTACATCCGCCACTTTCCATACAGGGTGACACACTGTGATTCTCAAAAGACAGCAAAACCAGTTTTGTAAAACTGCCACCATTAAAAACCAAATGGTAGTGCAGAAAAATACAGCGCAGATAAAAAAACAGCTCACAGGAATAAGCCTGTCCATCAGAGAGAACACCCTCACTCAACACAAAGAACTCGGAACAAAGAAACATATGCCTGGCCCATCCTCCAGAGCTTCCTGCACAGCTTGGGGTGTGGGGGGGGGGCGGTGAGGGCTGGGAGCTCTGACCTGAGGGCAGCCACAACGAAGGAAAGCTCATCCGCCCACCAGCCCCTCGTGACAGGACCTTATAAATTATCCATTCCAGTCATCTCATTCCACAGGTGAGGAAACAGAGGTTTGGAGAAGTGAAGGTTCCAGGTCACAATAACCAGTCAGCAGCAAAACTTGAATCTGTAACCCACATCTCCAGACTCTCAAACTACAGCTGCTTTCAGAATACTCCTGACTTCACACTGGTCACTGAGGATGATGGTAAAAAAAACTTCTAATTTTAATTTGCCTTTCAAAATAATCCCCTTTCTATATAGTATTCTGACTTTGCATCTAAAATAGTGCCCATTTTTCCCTTCCTACCTAATTTTCACCCAAACTTTGCAAGACAAGGAGTAACAAGAACCTATGCAGACAAGATAATTAAAAAGAAATTAGTAATCTGTAGATCATAACATGTAAATTAAATTACATGTCATCTTTACAAGTTCATTTTTTCATGTAATTTCAGTGGCCAGATGACAAAGCCTAAAAGCTAAAGGAGTGAAGATCTGGTACCTTTGGGTCCATTTTCTGTTTGGTATAAACACCATTCGCTGCTGTGAAGATATCATTCAGGAATACAAAAATATAGCCTTCCAAGTTAAAAGCAAGGTCAGAACTGGGAGGGAGAACACAGAGGAGTATGATTACTCAGAAACTCACAACTTGGCCTCAGACACTCTCTGTTTCATCTTTCCTAATCAAATCCATTTGTGACGCTAGTAACTACCTTTTCTCTGGCATATTTTCCCCCTGTATGGTGATGAATGGTTAATTCTTCTGCCCTGTCCCCAGACAAAAACAAGACCAGGCCTTCAGGAGGCTTAAACTTAATCACAACCGCTTAAAACCAGAGGGACATTAACCATCTTCCTTTGACTGCAAAGCCATTCTTTTGCTAACTGGTAAAGAGGAATGATTTGTTCAACCCACCTGTGGCTTATTGTAGTAAATAGGGCCTTCCCCAGAGTACAGCCCTCCGGGGACAGCTGAGCAGTGACATGGTAAAGGGGTCAAATGAGGAACTGACACCTCCATCTGGTCCCCACTCACGTCATCCACTAGCACCCCCACTATCCTGTCCATCAAAAAGGCAAGGCAGGGATCCATTCCTTCTCTGCAACTCCTCTAAGGCCCCTTTCTTCCCATTCTTTGAAGCATCTTCTCTTCAATTTCCATTTTAAATAAATAACACTAGTATAAAAATGTTTGGGGGGAATATGGCAAAGGGAGGAGAGAGTGAACAACAGCTAGGCCGGATGTGATGCATTCACCTTCACTTGACCTTGCAAACAGTACCACACCCATGTCCAAATTCATAAGTATATATTGTCAAGGAGGTTTCCTTTACCCTCTTTGGGTCAATGTCTGGGGGCCTGTGAAGTTAACTGACAACAGACAGAATAACGGGGGAAAAAAATACAAATTGTTTTAAATATTTGACATGCACAGGAGTTCACAGAAAAGAAATGAAACTCAAAGAAGTGGTCAGACTCTGGGGCTTAGATACCATTTTAACAAAAAAGAGGGTTTGGGTGTTAAGGAACAAATAAATTGTGGGAAAGGGACTAGGAAATACATAGGGGAAACTAATGGAAGATAAGGGTTATTTTAATAAGGTTTGTTTATGCAGATTCATCTAGATGCTTACTCTCTGTCTCTGGTGATAAGAATCGCTTTCCTATTTCAAGTACAGGACCAAGGGACACCTTCACAAAGGCAAATTTATGGTCTACTTTTAGGCAGAAAAGGGAGGGCAGAGAACTCTTCCCACATCTATTGATTCTCAATTGCCTTCAACTCAAAATAATGTTTATGCCAAAGTGGCATATATTGGAGTGGCATATCCTTATCCCCTTCAGTATCAAAATAAGATTATTTCTAACCAAAGAGAAGGAAATAGGTAAAAATTGCATCAAAATCTGAATGCAAATTAAACCAGATTTTGCTTGAGGCTTCCACTGGCATTATTTACCTACAAATATATTTGTGAGAATATAAACTAATTTTAGATCATCATAAATCATAATTCTCTGGCTCAATCACAATAGAATCTCTGAAAATAAGGGCTTTCCAGATCTTTCCTACCCACATTCAGCTCAGTGTTAAGAAGTGTCTGCCATTCCCTAAGATGGCAAAGAGATGAATGAGCAAAAAAGTGAGGTACCTTTCCATCCAGAGGAATGGAAAGGAAGTGTTACTCACTTCCTCAGGGAGCCTAAGGGGAATTCTTGGAGTTTTCAGGTCTCCTACTTGAGGGGGCCAGGAATTCCCAACATCATTTGTTTAGGCCAGTAGTGAAAGCACAGACGTTTGATAAGAATTTACTTGTGTTATAAATGGGAGCAGATTCATGGTCAACCCGTGTGATTGTCATTTAGGGCTGTTCGCAGACATTACATTTCAACTTTTGCTGGCCATGTGACTTGCTTTGGCAAATGCAATGTAAGAAGATGTAACACGTCACTTCCAGGGAAAAGCTTGGAGAGCCAGCAGACAATTCCCCACATGCCTTCTTCCCTTCTGGATGAGCAAGGAAACCCCCTTTAAGGCAGAGGTTCCATCCCCCTGGGTCCCTAAGTAGCTACAATGGGCAGAGCACTCCCACAGCATTCACTGATGTTAGTATGCATCTGGAGTGTGAGCAGAACATACCTGGTATGTTAAACAACCACGATGTAGGGGCTATTTGTTACAGCTGCCTAAACTGGCTCATCTGTTACCTGCATTTGATGAGTTAATTTGAGTGAGAGCAGAGAAGGGTGCGGTGACAGCTGGGCTGCAGCTAAGAACTGTGCTTGTTACCCACAGGGATATTTTCCATTCTGTGGGTGCTGAGGAAGGGGAAAGCCGAGAATTACTATTCCAAGCTGGCTCTTGGGTAAAAGTTAGATGTTTTGGGAAACACTACTTACCCTTTCAGCTCACCAGAGTATCACCTATGAGCTGAATTCCTACTAACTGCTTCTGGAGATGTGCTTTCATACACACAGAGTCTGAAGTGCCATGCCTCATCAAAGACTTACATTTTTATAAACCAATTTTTGCAAAAGTCTTCAACTGGCTCTAAGTTAGTGGTTTTCAAACTGAGCTCCAAGAAACCTAGAAGAGAGAGGCGTCCCTGGGGAGACCTCAGCCCTGTGGGAGGAAGGCACTTTCAACAGGGCACCTCCCTTTTTTAGCTACTTCATGCATATGTTTTGTTTGAACAAAAGTCTTCATGATCAAAACAGGCTCTAAGTGTGGCTGCTTAATGTCTGTACCAGCACCATATCAGGCATGAAACACAGCACTGAAACCAAACAGGCCAGCTTTAAGGGGGATGAGCTCAGCCACAGCTAGAATTGGAGAAGAGGAAGTTACAGATAAAAAAGGCAAATAATAAACCCTGGTCTAGGCAAGGGACTAAACACATTTATAACAATAATAAACATCATTATTATTGCTAATATCTGTCACCAGCTGGCATGCTATATCTTTAATCAATTTCTTTTGCTTATTATCTGTTTCCACCAACCTGAATGAAAGCTCCATGAAGGCAAGGATTGTCTTGTTAACTGCTGGATTCCTCAGCACACAGAATGATGCCTGGCATCTAGTAAATGCTTCAACATGTTTTTGTTGAACTTGACCACGAACTAGTGTAAATCCTGGTTTATTATTATCTCATTTAATTCTCATAGTGATGCTATTAGGTGGATGATATTCTAATCTGCACTTCACGGTCAAAATAACTGGGGCACAGAGAGGTTAAATAGCTTGTCCTTGGTTATATAGCCAGTAAGTGAGGAGACTAGAATAGGGTTCCAGACATCCTGGCTCTGTAGCCCACACCTTATTTAATTTGCAATTAATGATCCAGAACTCTTGTTTCTAAATGAGTTAATGAAACTAGTTTAACTGAAATTCCTCCAACTTTTTCTTTCTTCCTTTCATTCACATAGGTTTTTCTTTTCTATTACAGTCATCCCTCCATATCCACGGGGGACTAGTTCCAGTACCCCACACCCCCACGCCCTCTACATGCAGGTACCCAAATCTACGGATGCTCAAGTCCCTTATATAAAATGATGTGCAGCGTCTGCATATAACCTACATAATCCTCCCATATACTTTAAATCATCTCTAGATTACTTATAACACCTAATACAATGTAAATGCTATGTAAATAGTTGCCAGTGCACAGTGAATCCAAGTTTTGCTTTGGGGAATCTTCTGGTATTTAAAAATATATATATTTTCGATCCACGGTTGGTTGAATCCACAGATGCAGAAGCCTTGGACACACAGGGCCAACTGTATCATTTATACCTTATAAATGAGGAAACTGAGGCACAGAGAGGCTAAGAAATAGCTGACAGAAGTTAAGTTTCAAACCAAGGAAGGTAACTGCACACATGCTTTAACCACTATGCTAATAAAAGGAGTCCGAGCGCCTGCTTTCAAATGCAAACTTGGAGCCCTTATTCCTGGTCAGGTATATTAATGAATAAGATAGTAGTCATGCACTGGTATTGGCTCATGTCCCAAACATTTAATGAGAGTATTCCATCCTTGGAAATATTGACCAATAAGGCATCACACGATGATAAAACAAATCAGCTTACAAGGGCTTTATAAATCTGTTATTCTTAGTCAAATGCCTAAGAACTTTTCAAAATTCTTTGTAAAATTTTTATATTGAAGACAAACATTCAGTAATAAATGTATACAGTTTACTCCTTTTATGAAGAAAAGCTGTATTAATACCTTGTAATGCTCACTCTATATATTTCTCAGAAATGTTCTGGCCAACTTGGAACCCAGTTTGACTTTCACAGGAACACATGGGGATTCCACTAACATCAACAGATTTGTCTCTTGGCTGCTCAATTCAACTGCAGCCAGATGGAAAATGAAAAATGAGGAGGGGGCCAGGCCTATTGTCAAAGACACAAAGGAGTTATTGAGCAGAAATAGTCCAAAGTCTTACCCAGCTGCTATGAAAGCACCAAGAATGATGGCAAAGACACTGACAATGATGTTCAAGGAATACTGTTTCCTGTAATAAATAAATAGTGGATGGATAGATAGGTAGGCAGACAGATGGACAGATGGATAGATAGATAGATAGATAAGGAAAGGAGGAAGAGAGGAAAAAATATAGATTATATTTTTAAATAAACTGCAAATAGACATTGTTAACAGTTTTATAGCTAAAATCTAATGGACAATGCTTTATGTAAAAAGAGTACTAAAGGTACCTTAAATGGATTAGGAAATCAGATCAAATTTACTTTATTTCTTAAGTAGTTGTCTTAATCTAATTACAAATGTATTTTCTCTGTTCTCACTAGAAAGACGCTGGGACAAAATGCAGAAGAGCTCCTGCTGGTGGGTCTAGTTGGTATGTACTTTAATCAAGCATGCAAAGATTAAGATAAAATTCAATAGTAAAACTTAAAACACTGGGTCATCATCCAAATTTCATCATTAAATAGTCTCCACAGCAAAATCAAGAATCACCTTTTTAGATGTCAGCCTGAGCATTTTTATGAGAAATTTTTAAACCAACATTATAAAAATTAATTTATTCTGATGTTACATCATACTTACTGCATCAGAATGAATTTTCCCTGATTTTCTGCTACTCCTATTCTATACTATATATGTGGACAACTTTTCCTCTACATTCCAAAATCAGTGTATATTCCATCTGGCTCAAGAAACAGATTTACATCTGTTTTGGGGTTGTTGGGGTTTCTTTTTATCATTTTTGACCACACACACACATTTTATTTATCTAATGTAGAATTATAATTGTTTTTAAAAAACACTCATTACATTCTTAGGGAATCATGGAAATAGGAGACTGCTTTTAAGTGAACAAACCATTTGCCCTTAAGTTATTGCTACTACCACTTCAAATCAACTATTTGAAAAGATGACTAGATGTTGAGAATTTGCTAGGTAAAAATAATGTGGGGGTGTGGGGAGAGGACACCAGAGGAAAAGAAGAAAAACAAAAATCACCCGAGTATGATGGTTTCCAGGAGTAAAGTAAGTGGAATGGTAAATTTCCTGAGCACGGTGAACATCGGCAAGCTGTCAGGAAAAGATTCAAGTATAATATCATCAGACACCAAGTACTTTTTTAATGCCTTACATTTTAATTAAGCCCATTAATTTTCCAAATTAAATATAAGGAATTAACCTTAATTATCACACATGCTACTAATAAGTCATATTAAATAATAAAAAGAAATGGAGATTTAATAATTTTATGCCACTTTTACTTACTAGCAATTCAAAACATCATACTATCCAACTACTATAAAGTTTGTGCTAAAAGATTATATGCAGTGTGAACCAACACAGCCTTTGACAAATCAAGTTGGGACTATGTGTGGACAGTCATTAAATGGTCCTAACCTAGGACCTAATTACTTCTTGCTGGGAAACTTACCCTAAGATAATAACCCAAAGGAAAGAAAAAAAATCATGTACACAAACACGTTCATTGCAGTAATGTCTTTGGGAAAAACATCAGAAACAACCTGAGTATCAGACAAGGCAATGATTAAATAAATTATGATAAATCCACTTGAGGGAACATTATACATTAATTCTATAATATAAAACTTTACCACTCTTCGAAAACGAATATTAAATAAATCAAGGAGGTGACAAAACTATGTAGAGTCTACAACTGTAATAAAATACATTCTGTATATGGAAAAAGACTGAAAGTGAGTATTTAAAATAGTATGTTAGAGGATAAAATTATGGGTAATTTTTCCCTAAAACTTTATGTAATGAGACCACATTCACTGCCTTTCAAAAATACTTATGAACCTTTCACCCACTCTCAAAACCCAGAGATTCCAGAACACAGTTCAATGCACAGCCACAGACTGCCAGGGCTGGAAAAACCCACCTCCATCTGCTTCCAATGTGACCCTGAGAAGATGGTGACCAAAGAAAGGAAAGCCAGAACCACAGCGTTTGTGGGGTGGGGTGGGCAGCTCCTCCTGACCAGACCTGAGGAGGGGTTTCACACTACAACCAGAGAGCAGTGCAGAAAGAATTTTCAGGAACTTCACTTAAAAATGTCTTATGAGACTGGTCTGAACTGCCTTTTTCAAAGCAAGACAAAAAAAAAAAGTCTTATTATTTTCCATTAAATTCAAAAAGTATTCTTAGATGATGCCTTTTAAAAGCAGATAAGGGGAATTCCCTGGCAGTACAGTGGTTAGGACTCTGCGCTCTCAGTGCCGAGGGCCTGAGTTCAATCCCTGGTCGGGGAACTAAGATCCCATAAGCCATGCAGCACAGCCAAGAAGAAAAAAATAATCAAAAAATAAAAGCAGATAAGAATACTGAATGGTAAAAAGCTGAATGTTCTTCCCCCTAAGATCAGGAATAAGACCAGGATGTTCACTCTCACCACTACATCTATTCCGCATGGTAGTTGAGGTTCTAGATGGGACAATTAGGCCAAAAAAAAAAAAAAAGTATACAGTTTGGAAAAAAGAAAAGAAAGTTGTCTCTATTTTCAGATGATATATACAGAGAAAACCCTAGAAATCCATTAAAAAATATTATTAGAACAAATGAAGTAAGTGTGCAGGAAACAAAATGAATATACAAAAATCAACTGTACTTCCATACACTAGCAATGAGCAATCCAAAAAGGAAATTAACAATTCCATTTATGATAGCATCAAAAAGAACAAAATTCTTAGGAATAACGTAACAAAACCAGTGTAAGAATTGTAATACACTACAAATTACAAAATATTGTTAAAAGGTGAAAGAAGATTAAATGGAAAGACACTCCATGTTATGGATCAGAGGCTTAATGTTGTTAAAATGGAAATACTTCCCAAATAAATCTATAGATTCAACACAGTCCTATCAAAATTTCAGCTGGCTTTTTTTCCCCCAGAAATTGACAAACTAATTCTATAATCAATGTGGAAATGCAAGAAAACCAGAAAGCCAAAACAATCTTGAAAAAGAAGAACAAAGTTGGTGGACCCAATTTCAAAACTCACTACAAAGCTACAGTTATCAGTATTATCTAGTACTAGTTTAAAGATAAACATTTAATCAAAGCAATAAGATTGAGAATCAAGAAATAAATCTTTCCAATTACGGTCAATTAATTTTCAACAAGGGTGCCAAGACAATACAATGGGGAAAGAACAGTCTTTTCAATAAATAATGCTGAAACAACTCAACATTCACATGCAAAAGCATGATTTTGGACCCCTACCTCACACTATATAGAAAAAATTATGTAAAAATATATCAAAGAGGGGCTTCCTTGGTGGTGCAGTGGTTGAGGGTCCGCCTGCCGATGCAGGGGACACGGGTTCGTGTCCCGGTCCGGGAAGATCCCACATGCCACGGAGCGGCTGGGCCCGTGAAAAAAAAAAAAAAAAAAAAATATATCAAAGACCTAAATGTAGGAGCCAAAACTATAAAACTCTTAGATGAAAGAATAGGATTATATCTTCATGACCCTGGGTCAGGCAAAATTCTCTTAGACACAATACCAAAAGCACAAGCAACAATAACAAATATAAATATATCAGACTTCCCCAAAATGTTTATCTATTTTATAAATAGATAAACAACATGTGATAGATATATACAATAGAATACTATACAGTCTTACTAAGGAATGAAATTCTGATACATGCTACAACATGGATGAAACAAAAACATTATGCTAACTGAAATAAACTGGACATAAAAGGACAAATATTGTATGATTCCATTTGTATGAAATATCTAGAATAGGCAAATTCATAGACATAGCAAGTAAAATAGAGTTTACCAGGGCCAGGGGGATGGGGGAATGGGGCATTCGGTTTAATGGGTACAGAATTTCTGTTTGGGATGATGAAAAATTTCTGGAAATAGATAGTGGTGATGGTTGCTCAAGATTGCGAATATACTTAATGACACTTAACTGTCCACTTAAAAATAGTTAAAATGGTGAGTTTTATGTTATGTATATTTTACCTTAACGATTAATTGAATTTTTTAAAAACTTAGAACTTTTGTGCTTCAAAGTACACCATCAAGAGAGTAAAAAGACAATCCACAGATTAGGAGAAAATTTTGCAATCATATATATAATAAAGGACCTGTATCTAGAATACCTAAAGACTTAAAACTCAATAATAAAAAGATAAATAACCCTGTTAAAAAATGGGCAAAGGACTTGAATAGACATTACTCCAAAGAAGCTATATAAATGACCAATAAGCACATAAAAAGATGGTCAATATCATTAATCATCAGGGAAATGCAAATCAGAACCACAATAAGATACGACATCACAACCACTACGATAGCTATAATCAAAAAGATAGACAATAACAAATTTGGCAAGAATGTACAGAAATTGTAACCCTCGTACACTGCTGGTGGGAAAGTAAAATGGCACAGCCACTTTGGAAAACAGCCTGGCAGTTCCTCAAAATGTTAAACACAGAATGGCCATACCCCCAGCAATCCTACTTCTAGGTATAGACCTAATCAATAGCAATTCTGTTCTTCCACTTCATCAGGCCAAAGACCATGAAGGCATCCTGGTCTTTCTTTTTCTCATACCCTACATGTTATTCATCAGGATACTGTGTTAGCCCTTTCTTCTATATATATCCAGCACCCAGACTATGGCCTCAACCTCACACTAAAAATAACCAGGGGATCCTTGGAGAAATGGCAGGAAAAGTCCAAATAAATCTGGGACATCATGTGCCAGGAAGCAAGGAAGTAATCAAAGACTACTGGGGCTCTAGAACATAGGAGTCAACTCAAAGAGGCTCCCACTGACCTGAGATGGTATAATTTGAGCATCAAAAGAAGTATTTATATAATGAATTAAAACATTAAGTAAATGAAACAAATAGAATAATGGAACAGAATAGAGAGCCCAGAAATATACCCACACAAATATAGTCAACTAATCTTTGACAAAGGAGCAAATACCATTCAATGGAGATAGACTAGCCTTTTCAACAAATGATGCTCAAACATCTTGACATCTACACGTAAAAAACCCTGAATCTAGACACAGGCCTTATACCTTTCACAAAAATTAAGTTCAAAATGGATCATATACCTAAATGTAAAACATAAACTTCTGGAAGATAATGTAGGAGAAAATCTAGATGGCCTTGGGTTTGGCAATGAGTTTTTAGATACAACACCAAAAGCACAATCTGTGAAAGAAAAAAATGATGGTGGAACTTCATTAAAATTAAAACTTCTGCTCTGAAAGACAGTGTTAAGAGAATGAAAAGACGAGCCATAGACTGAGAGAAAATATTTGCAAAATGCCTATCTCATGAGGGACTTGTTTCAAATAAATGAAAATGCATGAGTTAATAATGACGGTAAAAAACAAAACAAACAATAAACAACAACTCAATATTGAAGGTGACAGGACACTAATTTATTACTCTGAACATTTATAAATAAAGCTTTATCCTGCCTTTCCTGTATGATATGGTGAATGAAAGTTTGTATTTATTGAGGAAGTTTAGACAATTAATGTAGAAGGGGTGATATAGTTAGAAAATCATCATTTTTCAATTTGAAATGAAATAATGGATCCAGACAATGATCATCAATAGAGGCTAAAACCATTAGGGGAAAAATCGATGGGAAACATTCTAATGAAGGGACCAGACTGACCCCTTAAAATCATTAAAAGTGGAACTGATCCATTAAATATCATTAAAGGTGGGATAAAACATTATGTATCCCATGAGGTGATGCAGTAGAAGGAACCCAACATCACCAATAAACTGATGTTGCCTGAAAAATTGAATCTGAATCTGATCAAGCCTCTAGGACCAACTACCAGTCTATGGAAAATAGGGGAGAGAGAGAAACATACTACATGACACCACGTATAAGCAATCTTCCTTCCTTCCTCCTCAGTCTCACTTGCTGAAAGCCCCCACAGCACCCAAGAAGCCTTCATCTTACCTCTTCTGCTATGCATGTAGAGAAGTGTTGAAGAACACTTGTAATAAAGATGTTTGTAAGATCACTAAAACAAGAAGGCCTCATCTGCGAGGCAGAGACCCCCAGTGCGGCTGGGCAGCTATGAGGGTAACTGAAGGCATCCCCACGCTGCAGGTGGGCTCAGAGACAGGGCAAGAGGATATGTAGCAACACAGCAATAGCACCTACCACAGGGTGTTTTAATACAAATTTAAGACAATTAAGGAAAATTGCCTGTCCTAATCCCAGAAGGAAACAACAAAACAACTAAAATATGTAACTAAAAACAGTATTGGACATTTTGTTTTTCACAACAACCACAATCTGTCCTTTCCAAACAAGAGTGAAAGGCAACAGGCCTAATTTCACATTTCTCAGTTTTATATGTACTTTCTCCTTCTGGTCTACCTCCTACCTGCCACTTTTCTTCTCTCCCTATACAAACAGGTTTCCTTCCATTTCTGTCACTCTTTGGTCAGACTTTATTTTCCCATTATTCACATCTTTTTCATAAGGTTTGTCACCCTAATGTGTGTTCATTAGTCTACATATTTCACACCACGTTTTCCAATTTATAGGATGACTTGGTCTTTGTACACTTCTATTTTCATTTTTGCAATGACTTTTAACAGAGTAGTCAAAGGACCATAAAATAAATGCAAATGCAGATTTCAGAAGTATATATCACATACGTGAAAATAACGTCTGTCATTTATTTTTCCTTGTACCAAGGCTGACCTACACCAAATCTGACAGAATATTCCTGCTTTTATAAAACTGTGATGAAACCAAAAGTTACACAGAACCATATTCGTATAAATGAATCTTTCTGAATAAATCATACCTTCTCTATCTTGATTTCTATAGATCTCACATTCTATCTTCAGACTTGAACATAAAGAAAAATATATCAGCTTTTTAACATTTCTAAAGCATTATCAAATTAAATTCAAAACTCTACCTTATTTTCTTAAATTATGGAATATTATTGTCTTCTATATGTAGCCCAAGCAATATCTTGAAAAATCAAAGCTGGTCTTTGTGACACTAAAAGCAAACGAGTGAAGACTCTGATCAACCATTAACCTGCACTCTACCTTAATTTACTTGTGCTTGATAATCCACTTATGTGGTTTCCAATGTAGAGGAGAGGCAGAGGGAACAGCTTCAATAAAAAAAGAAAGAATATTTGGTTAGTACTCCAATAACATTTTCTTTCATATATAAAAATGGTGACATTCACTCCCCATCAGTAAGCAAATCATTCTGAGTTCCTTTCCTTGCAATGACTATATTTTCCAGAATCCAGAACACATCATGACTTTCTCCATGTGATCAAAAAATAGGTAGGTAGGAAGTGATATCCATAATCATGGTGGTGGTGTGGAGGCTGGATAGAAATGGAAATCTTGACCTTGTCCACATTAGTAGACTATTTCCCTAAAAGAAAGCTCTGAACAAGCACCTCTCTTAGGTGGAGACCCCTAGCCAGGTTGGTGAGTTGAGGATGGGTGTTTATCGCTTATAAACTATATAAATATAGTTTATGAATGAGATTCAGAAGGCCATTGAAAAAGTGTGCAAACTTCTGTTATCTATGCATATATGCACTTTTCTGGACAAAGGCAAAGGTCTATATCCCATTGATGTGTCACACAGTTGGTGACACTTTCAAAAAGTTCTGTATACTGGCCACATTACTTTGGAGTTACTTTATTTGTTTTAAAGGCCTAGAATAATTAAATATCTACCAAGGTTAAACAATGTAGCTTGTACTTGAATTAGGTTTACTGAGCTCTGAGCTCCTGAATTATTTTCTGATTGTTAAGAGAAATATTATTCAGAACACACTGAAAAAGAGACAAAATGTAACACCTAGTCTTCCATAAACGAAAAAAAAATCCCTTCATAAGCTCATATGATAACTTTTAAGAACTTTTTAACTAATATAATACTCCATAGCTATCAAGATGAGTCCAACATTTCTTTTTCCACTAAAAAGACACTAAGCGTGCAACTCAGATATCTTTTGAAAGATACGCGCAGGCTCAGCGGCCATGGCTCACAGGCCCAGCCGCTCCGCGGCATGTGGGATCTTCCTGGACCGGGGCACGAACCCGTGTCCCCTGCATCGGCAGGCGGACTCTCAGCCACTGCGCCACCAGGGAAGCCCCTTTTGAAAGATTTTTAAATACTATGTGTCATCTGCAAAAAAGTTACAGAATTTCTTTATTAGGAAATTTGCTCAAGAAACATAAGCAGGATAATAGAGCCAGGCCCTTCCCTTTTATTAATCAACATTGTAAATGAAAAATGTTTGGACCTGCCATATCAGTAAACAAAGGATGTTGCAGCCTGGTGGCTTGATAGCCACTACAGCCCCCCTGAAAGTGAGCTCTGAGGGAACTCAGGATGGAGACAAACGGGCTGCCCACTGCCAAGCCCTCACTGCCAAGCCCTCAGTCACTGCAGTCACCCCCATGGTGCACCCTGAGGAGACTCAGGATGGAAAGGAGGAGGATACTGGTCCCAGATAGCTAAGGTCACATCAAAGGAATAATTTCAATGAGCCCAGACTCTTGCATCTTCCCATACATAGAAAAGCACTGAATTCATTAGCTTGAGATACTATCTGGCTTTCTTTAACTAACAGTAATCTTTTGAAGTTCCAACTACCTGGTCATTTTTGCAAAAACTCCTGTATATGCTGGCCCTTCCCTCACCTCTTTGGAGCAGTCCCTCAGAGCTACCTGAGCTATCCGAGAGGCTGCCTCCTTGGCTTAAGTCCTCGTTTTGTCCGCAAAATAAAACATAATTCTCAACTTTTACGTTGCACATTTTTTTTCAGTCAACAAAATTCTGGTTAACAGTGTACAACTGACTCAACAATCACACAGCTGGTGATATTACAACTTTAGAGGTTCTTAGGTGTTGAAGAGAATCAGTTGCCCCTATTTCCATATACAATTCAAAATAAAGACAGTACTGACTTCTAGTTTCTGGTAACCATGGGCTAAATTATTTGTGCTAATTCCCCTGCTGATTAATCAATGCGTTAATTAATCAACTTTATAATCTGATAAGTTAGCTATGCCTGTTTTGAATTCCAGGGGAACACTAAAAGAACTGAAACAGAGGAGTTCCACTGTGCATAATTAAACACTATAATTCACCAGTAAGATTTAACTAATTTAAAATTTTAGGCACCTATGGGAATTCCCTGGAGGTCCAGTGGTTAGGGCTCTGCACTTCCACTGCAAGGGGCACGGGTTCTATCTCTGGTCGAGAAACTAAGATCCCAAATGCCGCGAGGTGCAATCAAAAAAAAAAAAAATTTAGGCACCTAATCATACAGCCTCAAAATACATAAAACAAAACAAAAAACCTGGCAGAAATACCAAGAGAAACAGACTGTAGCAATATCTCTCTTCTCACATACTCTTAAAATGTGACTTTGACACTCCCTTCCATCCAGAGGTAGTGTCTATGTCCCTACAGCAAAAGGCAACTGGAACACAGGAAAAAGGCATCTCAAAAAAACCTACAGCAAACAATACACTTAATGACGAATATTAAGTTTCCCCTTTGAGATCAGACAAAAATGCCATTTCCATTTCTATCAACATTGCACTGTAGGTCCTGTGCTATACAGTATGGCAAGTAAAAGAAGTGAAAGTTAGAATGTTGCAGATACAAAGACAATATACAAAAGAAAGATAAAAATATGTACCTGAGAAGTGGAATATGTCCTGCCATATCAGTAAACAAAGGATGTCACAGTCACCAGCCATTGCAGCCACGACCTTTGCAGCCACAGCCTATGGTGAGCTGGTGAGCCCTGAGGAAACTCAGGATATGAAAACAAAGGATACTGGTCCCAGATAGCTGAGATGCATATCAAAGGAATGATTTCAGTGATCCCAGACTCTTGCATCTTCCCATATATAGAAAAGCTCTAAATTCCTTAAGTTGACATATCCGGTTTTCTTTAATTAACAATAATCTTTTGACATTCAGACCACCTGCCCTTTGTTGCAAAACTCCTATATGTCCTGGCTCCTCACCTCACCTCCTCAGAGCACTTCTCTCACAGTTACCTGAGATGCTGCCTCCCAGGCTTGAAGTACTAAAAGTTCCTGCCGTATAAAACATAACTCTCAACTTTCACATTGTGAATAATTTTTTAGTGGATATACTTCTAACTTTCCAAATAATCTGGGGGTGTTTTGGCCATGCCACGCAGCATGCAGGATCTTAGTTCCCTGACCAGGGATCAAACCTGTGCCCCCTGCAATGGAAGCATGGAGTCCTAACCACTGGACCGCCAGGGGAGTCTCCTGTTTTTAAAAGATACATGCAATAGCAAAAAAAAAAAAAAAAAAAAAAAAAAGACGTACCTCAGAACAAATCTAACAAAAACTGTTAGAACTCTATAGAGAAAATTATAAAACTTTACTGAGGGCAGTTAAAGAAGGGGTATGTATACCATGTACATGGATTGAAAGATTCAATACTTTAAAGATGTCAACTCATTCCAAATTGCTTTAGAGCTTCAATGCAATTCCAGTCAAAATCCCAAAAGGTTATTTTTCATGAAACTTGAAACCTGCTTCTAATATTCACATAAAAATGTGAAGAACCAAGAAGTTAGGAGGAAAGACTTGCTCTACCAGATAGCAAGGCTTTGCATAAAGCAATAGTAATTACAACTGTGAGGTAATGGGGCAGAAACACAAATAGACAAATGAAAAAGCATGGAGAGCTTAGTAATATATGTGAACAACAGTACCATGATATAAGTGGCACAATATTAAGGATAAACTTTTCAGTTGAGTCTGCGACAAATGAAAAAATAAATGAAATTGTACCATTACCTCACACCATCCACAAAAATCAACTCCAAGCAGATTAAAAACCTAACTCTGAAAAACAATATATCTTTTATCTAGAAAAATATCTTCATAACCTCAGAGTAGGGAAGAATTTCCTAAATAAGGAAAATAGTGATTAATTATTAAGGAAAAGACTGATAAAATTTAACTATTTTAAAATTAAGATTCCTTTTCATGATAAGGAATACATGATAAAGGAATACAACATAAATACATAATAAAGAAAATAAAAAGATATGAAACAGAGCGGGGAAATATATTTGTAATGCTGTATATAACTAACAAGAGGACTATCATTAATATATTTTTTAAAACTCCTACACAAATCAGTAAGAAAAAGACATCAACCCAACAGAAAAATGGGCAAAAGTCTTGAACAAGTATTTCACAAAAGAGGATATCCAAATGGGCACTAAAAAATGAAAAGGCACTCAACCTCATTAATAAACAGGGAAATGCAAATAAAAGCCAAGAAGATGTCATTATGCACCCACCAGATCAGCACAATTTAAAATGACTGGCATACCAAGGATTGGCAAGAATGAGGAGCAATAGGGACCTTCATGCACTTTCGTCAGGAGTAGGAACTGGTACAACCACTTGGGGGAAGAGTTTGCCATTATCTACTCAAGCTGACAATACGCTCACCCTAGGAGTCAGCAGTTTCACTTCTTGATAAGCTTCCCAAAAAACTCACGCACACGTGCTGTTTTGGACTGAATTGTATCTGCTCAAAATTCACATTTTGAACCCCTAGCCCCCAGGTGACTGCATGCGAAGATAGGGCCTTTAAGGAGGTAATTAAGGTTAAATGAGGTAATAAATGTGGGGTCCTAATACAATAGGACTTGTGTCCTTATAAGAAGAGGAAGGGACACCAGGAGTGCATAGGCACAGAGTAAAGGCCACATGAGGTCACAGTGAGAAGGCAGCTGTCTATATGCCAAGGAGAGAACTCTCATCAGAAACCAACCCTGTTGGCACCTTGATCTTGGACTTCCAGCCTCCGGAAGTGTGAGAAAATAAATTTCTGTTAAGCCACCTAGTCTGTGGTATTTTGTTATGGGAGCCTTAGGTGACTAATACTTGTGCACCAAGATCCAGCTATCAGTATGTTCAGAACAGTACTTTTTATTTTTCTAGGGCCCAAACTAGAAACAACCCCAATTACCATAAACAGTAAAACAGATAAATAAATTGTAATATATTTATACAATGAAAATAAAAGAATACGGCTACACACAACAATGTGGATGAATCTTACCAACATAATATTAAGTGAAAGAAGCAAGATACAAAAGAGTATACAGAGTTTAATTCTCTTTATATAACATCCAAAAATAGGCAAACCTAAACTACATAATTCAAGGATACATACAAATTTAGAAAACTTACAAAGAAAGCAAGAAAATTATTAATACAAAAGTCAGAATAGTGGGTAAAGAAGGACTTTGTGATCCCATCTCATGACGTAGGTAATGATTACAAGGGTAATTATTCATTCAACTACACAGTCATGTATGATGCCTTTTTTCCTATGTCTAGATCATATTTCACAATTGTTCAAAGTATTTAAAAATTATAAGCTAAGTGTAAGCAAGCCCAACAATATTCTGATTTTTCTTTTGATGATTGGGTTAATATCTTTCCTATACTTCAATATTTTGTTTTTCTCTTTTTGTGGATGTCCCTGATTATTGATGCAGTAAGCATGTGCTTAGTCGACCTGATGAATAATCCAGAGCTAGATGCCAGTGTTTTTCCAGGCCTGAGAGACATGGCAGTGAACAAACCATGTGAGGTCCTCACTCTCAAGGAACTGCAGTCTGATTTAACCTCCCTAAATCCAAAAAATGTCACCATGATCGATTTAATACCACCTGTCGTATGGGATTGCTCTAGGAATTAAATGTCTGGCCTCATGCATGTCACCCAGCAACTGTACAATAAAAGTTAGTTCCGGAGCAGCCGCAAGGCACAGGGATATTAGCTCGGTGCTTTGTGACAGCCTGGAGGGGTGGGATAGGGAGAGTGGGAGGGAGGGAGACGCAAGAGGGAAGACATATGGGAACATATGTATATGTATGGCTGATTCGCTTTGTTATAAAGCAGAAACTAACACACAATTGTAAAGCAATTATACCCCAATAAAGATGTTTAAAAAAAAAAAAAAAAAAGTTAGTTCCGGGCTTCCCTGGTGGCGCAGTGGTTGAGAGTCCGCCTGCCGATGCAGGGGACACGGGTTCGTGCCCCGGTCCGGGAAGATCCCACATGCCGCGGGGCGGCTGGGCCCGTGAGCCATGGCCGCTGAGCCTGTGCGTCCGGAGCCTGTACTCCGCAACGGGAGAGGCCACAACAGTGAGAGAGGCCCGCGTACCGCAAAAAAAAAAAAAAAAGTTAGTTCCATTCCACATTCCCAGGAAGGAATGACAGTTCTCATGTTTCTAGTTCCACCGTGGAAAAAAAACTACGTATATCAAAATGTGTTTATTCATCATTCTACTCACAACTGTTATCAATCCAAGCTAAAAATGAAAATTTAAAACAGGGATCAACAAATTGGGAGGGCCCAAGAGATAAATCTAACCCATCTTTTATTTATGCAAATAGTTTTATTAGAACACAACTACACCTATTCATTTATATATGTATCATCTACAGCTGCTTTCATGGTGCAGAGCTGAATAGCTGCAGCAGAGATGGTCTGGCCCACAAAGCCTAATTATTTGCTATCTGGTCGTTTACCAGATAAGCTTGCCAATTCCTATTAGAAAGCTTTGTCATTTCAGAAGACACATAGTATTCATTTAATATCCATTGCTAAGCACATACTTTTACTAGTATTATGTTACATTAGTGGACCGCTGAATGATATGAAACCTTTATTAAGAAGTTTCTACCCATTGCCAACAGGAAGCACATGTGTATAGAAATGGACCTGTACTCTTAAGATCACTTTGTAATTCTATAGCATTTCTACATCTTCCATCATAGCTATATGTACTTTCCATCACATACCTTAATAGGAATTTTCTTGTCAAAATCAGGGAAGTGAATTACTTTATTTAGCTTGGACACATATAGTATCATTATGGTAACTGCCATCTAAAGAAAAGGGAAAAGAAAAACTTCAGCAAAATATCTGGAAAGACTATGTGAGGTACAAATACATCATCAAAAGAAAAGAGATTCACCAAAAATATATATATATCTGAAAAGTCCATTTTCTGGGTTCCAAAAAACCTATTATTCCTTGAAATATTAAAATTGTTTTTCTTGCCACCATATAGATTGCACCAGAACTATAGGCAAAAAGTATAACATCAAATATAACGTATACACGATATCTCAAGGGGCTCAAGGAACGACAACAGTGGGAAAAAGGAACGGTGTCCCCAAAACTGACCAGAGTGACCACAGTTGGTGAGGCTGCTTGTCGATCCTAGACCATCCTTCCTATGTACTGAGCATATATATGGTCACCTTACCCCAGAAAGTAAGTGTGGGGATGAAAGGAAGGGGGAAGGGAGGCAAACTCCACACATAAACATATTTTGTAAAGTATAATGTTTCTATAACACAAAAGTCAAATTAAGAGGAAAACAAACTTTAAAAGGGATTTATTTTTCTCTCCAATCTAGCCGGTGTTGCAAAAACATCTCATTCAAATGCTATTAATCTGGATTACACCAGGTATATCAGAAATACTCCAGATTATTATTATAAAATAAAAAGTTTTAATATCATCTTTCTACACACATTTTAGAACTTACTTTTCTCCACATTAGGATGCAAAAATTTAAGGTCTCCTTCAAAATGATTATCATCCTAAACCTTGAGCCTGAGTGTACAAACTTAATACTTATAATAGATTTATATAACACAAGCCCACCCTGAATTATAATTGTAGTTTGTATATATGACTTACTTTATAATTCTTACAGAAATTTACCAACACTTGTTTAAAATATTCTGCAATTCAGACTTTTAAAATTTGGTCTGCTGGCTTCTTCCCCCACAAATTGCAAATCATAAACGTTTTTACCTTAATTGAGTACAATCCAGTGAATTTATTTGTCTTGGGCATTACAAAGGGCACATTACCACATATTATTGATCTTTTAAAGTACTTTTTAACATATTTTCACACTGAACCATAAAGATATAAATTTTTTGACCTTAAGGAAAGATATTGTTTCCTCATGATTTTTTTCTCCCTAAAATGATGTGCAAAGAGTACCTTATTAGCGAAACGTTTAACTAGAATAATGTTTAATCATATAAATTCCAGATTCACAATTTAAAATTTAGTTAACAGATACAATTTTTATAATTTTAAGTTTTTCTCCTTATAGACTAAAGGAAAACGAAAACAAAAAAACTTTGGTGCCTGTGTTACCACGTGCCTACTAGAAATCATCAGCATATGACCAAAAAAGTAAAAGAGCCACAAATTAATATTAACAGAAAATTTCAGAAACAGCCAAATGGGGTAAGTTTGAAAGTTTATCCAAGTTTGTCCTTACACTTGAGAACAAACATCACAAACTTCAGGAAGGAAAGTGCAAACATGTTTTGTTTGGCCTGTAGAGAGTTTTATGAAAATATGAATCTGTTGCCACCATTTACAAATTAGGGGGTTTGATGTAAAAATTAGATTTCCCTGATCCCTAGTGGGCCTCACCTCATCTCCCTAACCTTTTTCTTCTCAGGCACAGTGGCTTAAACTGTGTGCACTCATCTGTTACCCAGCAGACCTTGGAGGCTTTCAGTCTGCTGCCCCCTTGCTTTAGAGTAATTAAATTCTATTAAGGAAGTTAAAATTAGTTGTTTTTTCCTACAAATACAACTGCTCCTAAATTGTAAAATGAAATAAGATGTGTGTCAATACTTCATGTTGTTTCACCAAAAGTACCATGGTCCTCTGCCAGCTGAACAAGTTCGTAAATCACAGTCTTAAACAAAAGCACTTAAAATTTCATGATGTGTACTGACAACTAATTAAGAGGGTAATTTTTTTTTTCACTTACCTGTCCAATTCCAAGAACAACTGGTGATGGGAAACTACAAAAAATATAGAATAACAAATAATATTAGCAACTGATAAAAAAGTTGAAGACAATATACAATACATAATGATAGGAGTTATTAAAAAGTCTTAGACTTTTTTTTCAGTCTTAGTGAAATTGTCAAATTTGTTCACTTTTCGTTTGTTCATTTCTTTTCCATTTTTTAAACTGATCATTGCTAAACTTGGCAAACTTCTATTGCCCCTTGAGGCAGACTGTCATATTAACAAACAACACAATTGTATATGTAGAAAGCTAAAGTAATCTGGGGATAAATTACTAGAAATAATAAATAACTTTAGCAAGGTTACTGGATACAAGATGAACACACGAAAAAAATCATTTCTATGTCTATATATCATAAAAACACAAAGAACATAAAATTTTAAAGGTATTCATTTACAATAGCACCCAAAAAACATCAAATAACACTAACTGGGTATTTTATGGTAATAAGGAATTATTTTTACTTTTTTAGGCATGAAATAATATTGGGGTGGTAGGGTTTTTTTTTTAACAAAAAAGTCCCTCTTATCTTTCAGAAATTCATATTGAAATGCATATGACAATACATTTTTAATTTGCTTCAAAATAATCTTGGGGGAGAGGTTGGGATTGAGAGGAGGAGTGATATAAATTTAACAAGGTTGTTGAAACTGGATGATGGCTACATGGAGATTCATCATACAGTTTTCCTTTTTTCAAAATAATATACCCAGGTACAAATCTAATAAAAGATTTCCAAGAAATACCTCTACATAGAAAACTATAAATCAATATTTAAAAAATTAAAGAAGCCCTAAATAAATTTCATGGATTAGAATCAATATTGCAGTGAACCATTATCCACAAACTGACCTATAAAATCAAATCTCTCTGTAAAAACACAAGCAAGTATTTTGTGGAAACTGACTGATCCTAAGACTGAATGCAAAGGCAAAAAGCAAACATGATCCAAGATAATCCTGAAGAAAAACAAAGTTGGAGGAATGACTCTACTGGATGCCAGGATTCTTTTTTTTTTTTTTTGGCTGCACCACACTGCATGCAGGGATCCTAGATTCCCGACCAGGGACTGAACCTGTGCCCCGCAGTGGAAGCACGGAGCCCTAACCACTGGACCACCAGAGGAGTCCCCAGGATTCATTTTAAAGTTACAATAAATGAGAGAGTGCGGTATTTGCACAATGATAGTCTAACAGGACAAAGCAAGAGAACACAGATGGGGACAGATACATAGCTTTATGGAAACCTGATTCATGACAAAGATGACCATGCAAGCAGTAGGGAAATGGCCCTAGGTAACTGGAATCAGAATCTTAACCCCTACCTCATACCATACTTAACAAGGCAGCACATCACTTCACCGTGCTCACTCATTTTCCAGCCCTTCACTGGCTCCCAGTCATTCTCTCGGTCCACCAAAAAAGGGGGAATATCACCTAAAAAACCACCACCACCACCACCAACAGCAACACCTCAGCCCTCAATCTGTATGTCAAAGGGAAACATACCTATTTCAGATAGGGTAAGAAAAGAATAAAGAACCAACCTACCTTAACAGAGAAAACTGAATGACTGTCTGGACCAGCACCACTGTGAGAATAAAATGAACTCTAATGGATGCCGGATGTGCCACCCAGACACCGTCTTCTGGACTGAAGCACTCATTCCCCAGTCGCTCAAGAGCAACCTCAGCTGAAGAAAGCTGCCTTGCCAATAGCAACCCCACTGCCTGAGAGCAGCCTGTGTTCCAAGCCTGTGTGTCTGTGCAGGGGTATAAAAGCCAGGAGCTTTCACCCCAATTCAAGACAACTCTGTAGAGCCCTTCCAGCTCCAGAGGGCCTGGGATCAGGCTTTGTTGTGATAAAGCACAGCCCAGCTTCTCCCTCTACCTAATCCTGCTTCCCTCACTCCCCAACAGGAGTGGGTCCCAAGAGCTCCACCCAGTATACTTCCCCTGTATCTGAGAGTCTCCTTGCCCAGTAATACGACCTGCAACATGAAGCAAAATAATAAAACCACAATATAAACAAACAACAAAACAACAACAACAAAAGGCTTACAGAAGGAAGACAAATAGATCAGCCTAGAAGAGAATATAACACAGAGAGAGAAGCCACCCTTTACAATTGCTTCCAGCTACGGAACACCTTAATAAGAAGATATCAATAAAACAAGAGCTCAAAATTGAGATAACAAAGCAATCAAGTGAGATGAAAAGGGAACCTACAGATCTAAGGAAAGCAACTGAGGATCAAAATAACATAACTGGGGGCTTCCCTGGTGGCGCAGTGGTTGACAATCCGCCTGCCAATGCAGGGGACACGGGTTCGAGCCCTGGTCTGGGAGGATCCCACATACCGCGGAGCAACTAGGCCCGTGAGCCACAACTACTGAGCCTGCGCGTCTGGAGCCTGTGCTCCGCAACAAGAGAGGCTGCGATAGTGAGAGGCCCGCGCACTGTGATGAAAAGTGGCCCCCGCTTGCCACACTAGAGAAAGCCCTCGCACAGAAACGAAGACCCAACACAGCAAAAATAAATTAATTAATTAACAAACTCCTACCCCCAACATCTTCTTTAAAAAACAACAACATAACTGGGGGAGGACCTTCAAGATGGTGGAGGAATAAGACGTGGAGATCACCTTCCTCCCCACAAATACATCAAAAATACATCTACATGTGGAACAACTCGTACAGAACACCTACTGAACGCTGGCAGAAGACATCAGACTTCCCAAAAGGCAAGAAAATCCCCACGCCCCTGGGTAGGGCAAAAGAAAAAAGAAAAAACAGAGACAAAAGAATAGGGACGGGACCTGCACCAATGGGAGGGAGCTGTGAAGGAGGAAAAGTTTCCACACACTAGGAAGGCCCTTCACTGGTGGGGACGGGGGGGGGGGGGTGGGGGTGGGGGTGGGGGGAAGCTTCGCAGCCATGGAGGAGAGCGCAGCAACAGGGATGCAGAGGGCAAAGCAGAGAGATTCCTGCACAGAGGATCGGTGCCGACCAGCACTCACCAGACCGAGAGGCTTGTCTGCTCACCTGCAGGGGCGGGTGGGGGCTGAGAGCTGAGGCTCAGGATTCGGCGCTTAGATCGCAGGGAGAGGACTGGGGTTGGCTGCGTGAACAAAACCTGAAGGGGGCTAATGCACCATGGCTAGCCAGGAGGGAGTCCGAGAAAAAGGCTGGACTTGCCTAAGAGGCAAGAGACCATTGTTTCCGGGTACGGGAGAAGAGGGGATTCCCTCCCTGTCTGCCCACAGAGGGCAGAGCACTGCCTAAACAAGCTCCAGAGAAAGGCGCAAGCCACAGCTATCAGCGTGGACACCTGACACGGGCATGAAACGCTAACGCTGCTACTGCAGCCACCAAGAAGCCTGTGTGCAAGCACAGGTCACTATCCACACCTCGCCTCCCGGGAGCCTGTGCAGCCCACCACTGCCAGAGTAGTTACAATGTCACGCTGTTACAACGTCACGCTGTTACAATGTCAAGCCAGCCCCTGCCGCTTCAGGCTCACGCCACGTTCCATACCCCTCCCTCCCAACAACCTGAGTGAGCCAGAGGCCCCTAATCAGCGGCTCCTTTAACCCCCTCCTGTCCGAGGGAAGAAAAGACGCCCTCAGAAGACCTCTATGCAGAGGCGGGGCCAAATCCAAAGCTGAACCCCAGGAGCTGTGCAAACAAAGAAGAGAAAGGGAAATCTCTCCCAGCAGCCTCAGGAGCAGCGGATTAAATCTCCATAATCAACTTGATGTACCCTGCATCTCTGGAATACCTGAATAGACAACGAATCATCACAAAATTGAGGTGGTGGACTTTAGGAGCAACTGTACACTTGGGGTTTGCTGTATGCGAATGACTAATTTCTGATTTTTATGATTATCTTAATTTAGTTTTTAATGCTTGTTATAATTGGTGGATTTGTTTATTGGTTTGGTTGCTCTCTTTCTTTTTTTATTACCTTCCTAATTTTAATAATTTTTTATTTTAATAACTTTATTAATTTTATTTATTTTTTTCTTGATTGCTTGCTTTTTTTCCCTCCCTTTTCTTCTGAGCCATGTGGCTGACACTTGGTACTCCAACCAGGTGCCAGGACTGAGCCTCTGAGGTGGGAGAGCCAAGTTCAGGACATTGACCCACCAGCGATCTCCTGGCCCCACATAATATCAATGGGCGAGAGCTCTCCCAGAGATCTCCATCTCAACGCAAAGACCCAGTTCCACTCAACGACTAGCAAGCTCCAGTGCTGGACACCCCATGCCAAACAACTAGCAAGTCATGAACACAACCCTACCCATTAGCAGAGAGGCTGCCTAAAATCATACTAAGTTCACAGATACCCCAAAACACACCACCAGACGTGGTCCTGCCCACCAGAAAGACAAAATCCAGCCTCATCCACCAGAACACAGGCACCAGTCCCCTTCACAAGGAAGCCTCAAGGAGCCACTGAACCAACCTTACCCACTGGGGGCAGACGCCAAAAACTACAGGAACTACGAAACTGCAGCCTGCAAAAAGGAGACACCAAACGCAGTAAGTTAAGCAAAATGAGAAGACAGAGAAATAGGCAGCAGATGAAGGACCGAAGTAAAAATCCACAAGACCAAACAAAGGAAGACGAAATAGGCAGTCTACCTGAAAAAGAATTCAGAGTAATGATAGTAAAGATGATCCAAAATCTTGGAAACAGAACGGAAAAAATACAAGAAACATTTAACAAGGACCTAGAAGAAGTAAAGAGCAAACAAACAATAATGAACAACACAATAAATGAAATTAAAAATACTCTAAAAGGAATCAATAGCACAATAAGTGAGGCAGAAGAATGGATAAGTGACCTGGAAGATAAAACAGTGGAAATAACTACCACAGAGCAGAATAAAGAAAAAAGAATGAAAAGAATTGAGAACAGTCTCAGAGACCTCGGGGACAACATTAAACGCACCAACATTCAAATTATAGGGGCCCCAGGAGAAGAAG